CAGGTTCAAGCAGTCCTCTGCCTCAGCATCCTGAGTAGCTGGGATTACTGGTGCCCACCACCATCCCTAGCTGATTTTTGTATTTTTAGTAGAGATGGGGTTTCACTGTCTTAGCCAGGCTTGTTTTGAATTCCTGACCTCATGATCCACCCGCCTTGGCCTCCCAAAATTCTGGGATTACAGACCTGAGCCACCATACACCCAGCCTCAAAACAACATCAATGGTATTTTCTTTAGCTTATCCTTAAAGTATATAGGTACAAAAACAGTCTACCAGATTTTCTATAAATCTACTTTTTTTTTTTCTTATTTTGCCAGAACACATAGCAATTAATGTGTGGAAAGCATAGACACACTCTGGAGTCCTTTGTCTCACCACCCGGTGATGGCTCAGAAGCGTCACATGGCATCATCATGAATGTCCCTGGTCTTGGAAAAACGACAAAGCAAGCCTAAGATTATGAAATGGGACCCTGACTTCAGTACTTTTATGATCTTGTTAAACCTGCGATGAGGTGTTAACAAGCTTAATTAAAGGATTCTTTCCATTGTTCTCTCGGGAATGGATTTAAGGGTGGCTGGAGTTCAAGGACACTTTTGTATTAGTTCAGGAGAGGGAGGATGGCAAATGGGCCTCATCTTGTCTGCTTACCTCCTGCAAATTCCATCCCAAGGAAATGTGACCAGAGAACAGTTTCGATTTGCAAATCACAGAAGCCACTCTGGTATTTCAGGAGATAGGGATTGAATACAGGGAATAGTGCTTACTGAGTTGCAGATCAACTGTAAAGTGGGCCTCCAGAAGGATTCCTGGCACAGCTCTGCAGAGCCAGCCTGTCCAGGGAACTGTGCTTCTGTTAGGAGGCTGAAGACTTAGGAAGTCACTGTCCCAAGCACTGGTTCCAGGATCACACCTCCTTAGCCACCTCCAGAGCTGTTGGCTCCCAGACCACCCAAACCTCGCCAGATCTGAGCAGCAAAATGGATGTCTCCCTTCCTCCCCTCTTAACTCCCTTCCTAACGTAAGTCATCCAGAACTTAGAACGAGGTTGCACACAGAAAGTTATTTTGGGGTGTGCACCTGATCGGCAGGACCCAATCACATTTGAGACTGTAGGTGTACCAGAATCTGAGAGCGTTGTTTTTGGCCTTCCAGCCCTTACTATAGGAGCACACCCCAGAAGGAGACTGGAATCGCATGAGTCAGTGCCTACCCCATCCCTATAAATCGGGGTGTCTGTGGGGACAATGGAGCATGAATGGTATGTTTGGGATATGTCTGAAAGGTAGAACCTGCAGGAATTGGTGATTGACTTGATGGGGAGAAAGGCGACAAGGGTAATGTCAGATATAAAGCCCATTACATTAAGTTCTGGTTTTGTACTTTTTAGAACATTACTCCTGTTAGATATTTTTTGAATCTGAAAAATTATAAATTGCTTTAAACATTGCTTACCCAAATGGTCAGTGAAATGACCAGTTGCCATATCTCACCTAGAGCAATGTGAATAAATTTCAAGAGCCAGGTGACCTCAAAGTTTCCTCATACTTCTGAAATTCTTTAGGAGATTATACTGTATCTGAACATACTTTCTTTTCGTGATACATTTTTGTCGATACCAGAAGTAGAAGTCAAACAAGGGCGTTGGCGGCGTGGGTTCCCCAGCCCCACCCTACCCTGCTAAATGACAGCGCCTCCAGGATGGCAGGGGTGGTGTTCCAGGCGGATCCCCAGGCATGAATAACCCTTATCATGGTAAATTTGCTGGGCCTGGGAATCCAGTTGGTTTACTTGTTGCTTCAGATATGCTGTCTGTTCTTCTGCCTAGTTGAGGAGGGTTTAAGGCAGCAGGTGTCTGCCTTGCCCTGGGTTTCCTGCCCCCCGACCCCCACATCCCAGGGGGAAGCCCACAGGTTAGGAACTGTGGAGCCGTCAATACTTCTAACCAGGCTTCCTCTCCCTACTAGCCGTGTGATTGGCTCAGTCTCCCTCCACTGTGTTCATTTTCCACTGTGGCACTGTTAATTGATAGGGCTGACCACTGAGCATCTTATTGGCTAGCACCTTAATGGGGTCATGGCTGCCCCAGGCCAGATCTGCCCATTGCTCAGGTGGCTGAACTCACAACAGTATTGGCAATTTCCTCCAGTCCCCTGAATGCTTTATTAAAATATCTTCTGCCTCCTGGCCATCTCATAGAAGCATAATGTACTCATTTGCATCCTTTAACCTCAAGTAAACTCATCAATGGGAAGTCTTGGTAGAGACATGAAAGCATTTCAGATGACTCCCTGCCATTGAGACAGCAGCTGGTGCCCTTCTCCCCGGCAGCAACCTGGGGTCGGGACGTGTTCCTCTCCTGCCAAGATTGTGTCTGGCTGAGGCTGCTGCAGGCATGGTGCAACTGGGACATGAGTAGTTCCATGTAAGCACCTCCTCTCCCAGAGCGTATAAACCAAGCTGGGAAAACAGAATGTGCACACACTGTGGGTTATGAAGCTGTAACTCACATTTTAAGGCAAAACCTGCATTCCTGAAGTTAGAAATAGGTTGCATGGTGGAAGGTTTTTATTATCAAAAATACATTTTTTCCTAGAAACAGCACATATGTGAATGTTGGTTTTCCAGGCTTGCCTCCAAAAACCCACTTAACTCATCACCTAGCTGTACGACCCGGCGTTTGCAGGACAGAGCAGCAGCCAGGAGTCTTGTGCATGGTTCCCACAGCGTTTTAGCTTCTCCCTGCTCTTGGGAGTTGTTTGAACCCCAGCCCAGGACAGTGAAGCTCATTCATTGCCTTCGAAATGGCAGGGCAGCATTGGCCAGTAGTTCTCAGAATCACTGGGCAGGCTTGCTGAGCCACAGTGCTGTGCTTACCTGCAGGAGCTTTCATTCAGTGGGCCCAGGATGGGGCCCAAGAACTTGCCTTTTCTAACTAGTCCCCAGGTGGTGCTGATGCTGCTGGTCCCTAGACTGCAGTTTGAGGACCACTGGAGCAATCATGGAAGGACATTAACCCTGGAAGGAGTTCTGAATTCTTAATAAGAACCTGGGCCAGACGCGGTGGCTCACTCCTGTAATCCCAGCACTTTGGGAGGCTGAGGCGGGAGGATCACAAGGTCAAGAGATTGAGACCATCCTGGCCAACATGGTGAAACCCTGTCTCTACTAAAAATACAAAAATTAGCTGGGCGTGGTGGCATGTGCCTGTAATCCTGGCTACTTGGGAGGCTGAGACAGGAGAATTGCTTGAACCCTGAAGGCGGAAGTTACAGTGAGCCAAGATTACGCCACTGCACTCCAGCCTGGCACCTGGCAACAGAGTGAGACTCTGTCTCAAAAAAAAAAAAAAACCAGAATCTGTGCAACCAGCAGTGCCCGGCTCCCCAAATTCATGAATAAACCCTGACAACAGTAAATTCCAAGCCATCTTTTATCAACGAGGCCCTTGTGTAGTCTGTGCTTACATTCCATATTCTCTTTCTTCCTGGGCCTGGCGTTGCAGATGACTCTCGAAGCAGATAGGGTAGAAAAAGAAGTCACCCTCCTCAGGTCTCTGGAAAGCCATACCTGCCTTGGGGGCGTCGGTGAGCCAGTGTGTGTGTGTGTCCCAGGGAGTCCAGGGCAGACGTGGAGATGGTGTGACAGGCAGTGACTTCCTACTTATCCCAGCCAGGTGCTGTTCCCCGCATCCACTGACACGGAGCTTAGCTTTTCCTGAATTTCACTGAAGCTGAGAATCACAGCTGGGACCTCAGGGGCCTCGATAAGGCTCTGGAAGTTTGGGAACATGGGGTAGGAGGACCTCAGTGCCTTTACAGTGCCCTCTAAGGATCCATCCTCTGTTGCAGTCTGGTAGCATAGAGACAAGGGGCCAGGGGAGACACCTAAGAAGACAGAGCTAGGATCAGGGTCAGCCCACTCACTTCTGCATGCCCCACCCCCTTCCATATGCCCTACCTGCTCCAATCCTGCCTCTGCTCTCAGAATACCTCCAGCTGTGGCATTCTCAAATGCATTGGCATGCATTTCTTCAGCTGCTTCCCTGTACCACCCCATTCTCTGTCTTCACTGACCTAGAGTTGAGAGTCCAGAACTGGAAGCTTTGGCTGCTTCTTTGCAGCAGAAACAGGACATCTAGACCCCCGCTCTGCTGTCTCCGCGGCCTGGCCAGCAAGGACCCTGCTTATTTATTTGCCCCTCTGGCCCGGATGCAAGCTGCGTGTGGATTTGAGTCCACACACTTGGGCACACATCACTTAGAGGGAACAAACAGGGGTTTCTCTCTTGACTCTGCAAGTGGAGAAAAGAAAAATGAGAAGGTTGTATTTTTCTTGTTAAATAATCCAATAGTCTGAATGTTGTGTTTACTAATTGACCGTTTTTCTTTCCAAGTAGAGGAGATGGCTTTAGAGGGGAACACAGGAAAACACAAGGGACATTTCCAAGGGCAAAATAATGTTTAGTTAAAGTCCATATTTCGCTATTCACTACTAACTCTCACCTTTATTTTTAAGGCTCCTTGTAAAGTTTTGGGAGTGTTTTGGGATGAAAATTCGAAAGTAACTTTTAACCTCCCCACGTCATCTACCCATGCAGAAAGTTGTCAGGGTCTCCCAGCCCCTGGGCCCTCAGAGCAGCTCTTCAGGGAGGGATCACTGGTCCTCAGGGATGCCTGGTCTCCCTTGCTGTCCTGCTTTGCCTCAGTTTACATTTCTCGTGGTGGTTGGGACAGAAGAACACACATCCCCAGATTTCCTGCATCATCCTTTGCAGACTTATAATCTGTCCCAGACGGAAATGTTACATTTCCTTTTGTGGGCAAATTATATGTCTCATTGGATTTTCAAAAATGTGGAGGAGACTGAATGGCGTACGCGGCATGGTACTGGCAATGGTGCTGCGGTCCTTACAGGGTTGTTGTATTGCCCTTAAAATTGAGTACGACTAGCTCTGTGTATGTTTCTCTCTGATTTATTTTCTATTTGCCCCTCTCTAGTGGGATCTTGTGTGTGATAATGCCTGGAAGGTCCATATCGCTAAGTTCTCCTTACTGGTTGGATTAATCTTTGGCTACCTAATAACTGGATGCATTGCTGACTGGTGAGTACCAACGTGCCTGCCGCACGAACCTTTGGAAGCCACAGCACGCCTCTGCGGGCTAAAGAAAAGTGGTCAGTGTTAGCTTACCGTGACTGAGTCTTTTCCCAGTGCCAGAGCAGAAGGCCAAAGGTGCCACATGGAGAATGCAGAGCTCAGAGAAATGGCCCATGCACATAGCAGATTATTTGGAAGTGTGAATTTAAATTCAAAGAAATTCTCTAGCTGCTAGAATCTAGCAGAACTAGCCTGCAGCCCCATCTACTTCTAACCTTTTATGTTCATTGAGAAAGAGCTTAAAGACTTATGTGCAGGGCTCCAGGGGCTGGGCACTAAGGGGTGAATACAGAAGATGCATTAAAAGATAGGGGAAGGGGGAGCTAGAGACCCTTCCCCCATGTGAGCGAATGAGGAAGGCAGTGCTGATGAGCACCTCTGAACGTCATGTAGATCTTTAGAGAGGGAGAGTCCTTGGCTTGGCCAGGAGATGCCTCCGCAGGGTCTGTGGGGAGCTGCGTCTTGAGAGATGAAGAGCATTTGGGTAATACAGATGGGCTCTGAGGGCAGAGGAGGTGGTGGCCAGAGGTGAGAATGCATATGCTTTGTGTGGGTAGGAGAGGAAGTCCGGGTGCCTGGGGCAAAGCACCTTTGTAGTTCAGGATGAAGGGATGAGGTTGGTAGGACAGAGGTCTGCAGGGAAAGATGGTAGCAGAGACATGAATCATAATGATACCATTAGCAGGTGGCACTTGCTGAAAGATTACTGTGTAGCAGGCACTGTGCCAAGTAGTTCCGTACATTGACATCTCCTTACAACACCCCAATAGGAGGTGCTATTATTATCTGTGTTTTACAGTTGAAAAAGCACAGAAGTGTAAGTAAAATCCCCAAATTCACCCAGCTTTAAGCTGGAGAGCCAGGACTTGAACCTCAGCCACGTGGCCCCAGAGCCTGCCCCTCCACCAGGGTGCTGCCATGCTTTTATTTAAGACATTCTGTGGAGCCGGGCACGGTGGCTCAAGCCAGTAATCCCAGCACTTTGGGAGGCCGAGGTGGGTGGATCATGAGGTCAAGAGATCGAGACCATCCTGGTCAACATGGTGAAACCCCGTCTCTACTAAAAAAATACAAAAAATTAGCTGGGCATGGTGGCACGTGCCTGTAATCCCAGCTACTCGGGAGGCTGAGGCAGGAGAATTGCCTGAACCCAGGAGGCGGAGGTTGCAGTGAGCCACGATCGGGCCATTGCACTCCAGCCTGGGTAACAAGAGGGAAACTCCGTCTCAAAAAAAAAAAAAAGACATTCTGTGGTCACAGGAGCAGCAGCGGTGACGTGTCCAGGCAGGGAGGCAATTGCACAATGTTGACAGGTTTTTCAAGTAGTGAGATTGCTCAGGAGAGGGGCGTAGTGTAACTGTCCCCCCAGCTTTGCACTCTTTTCTCTTTAAAGGATTTTTTTTCTTCTGGTGAATCAGGACATCTTGGCCTGATGACATAATAAGGGCCCAGAGTGATATGGAACAAATCTGTAGGTCCTGTGACCTCTGCACCCCAGTTAACTGAGAATGCTGGCCAAGGCAAGTGCCTGGGTGGACAGCAGTGGAGAGTCACATTACACATGTGGAAAATATCTTCCAAAACCAGCGTTCTATTTGGGAGTTCCCTGAGCTGGCATGTAATGTGATTTCCTGTGTGCTTGATATCTGCTTCATCATCACTTGCAAGTGCTCCTCATGGACACATTCTCTGTGAACAGCAGCAGAGAAGCAGTCAGTGACCTCTGGAGACCTATGCGGGGGACCCCTTGTGGGCTTTCTCTGGTAGAGGCAACACAGGGTTTATTTTTTAAACCAAATACTTGAGTTCATAGGTTTCTAGTGCAAGCTATATTGGTCTGAAATATACTGTTTCCCAGAAATCTCCACTGAAATAGGTTAGAAAAATATACTAATATAATCCATGTTACCGTCTTTCTAAAAAAAATGCAGACTTGATGGGTTTTTGTGTCCTTATTCAAGAAATAATTTGATAGAAAAGTAAAAATCGACTTTTATTAATGAACCAGTCTGTAATAGTTGAAATTGTTTAAAGGTTGTTTTCTTGGCTTTCTTCTTGTACACACATGTGATGTGGCCTCCCTGATCACACACCAGGCCTGAGGACAAAAGACTAGAGTTTGGGTCTTGCTCTTTGAGTAACCAGAAGTCTGACATCACAAACCCTTTCTCTGCAGTTGCTTTTCTGAGGGTCCTCATCAGATGGGCAAGATTGAGGGGGTACCCTGGGAATCAGGGGCAGACTGCCTGAGTGGTGGTTTTTTAACATTTTGAGTGGGCTTCCCTTTCCATTTGAAAGCTTGGTATTTTCCAACCCCATTCTCTGGCATTTTACTCCCTGCTTGAACCTTGCTTAAAAGGAAATAAACCCATTTAAAGGGAACTGCAGACCTCACGGCTTGTGGGCCCTGTGTCACGGCTGCACGGGGAAGTTGTCTAAGTCGTATAATATGCTTCCTAAAGCTGCAGTCAGCATTTAGCAACATTTAAACAGTACACGTCTTTCTTTAAAAAGTGCCTGTTTTTGACATTAAGTTTTGTCTGGGGATGTTCACTGGGCATGGGTATAGAACCTGCTAGTTCAGGTGGGTGGGGGGAAGAGGATGGTCTGTAGCCCCAGAGATGCACTCCTTCTTCGCGGCCTTTGTCACTGCAGCAGGCCTCTCCCCTCTTCCCCAGCCCACCCTGGGAAGCTGGCCAGCATGGGCTGCCCTGGAGGACCCCTTGCCCTCCAGCTCCTGGCTGAGCGTGGCCAGAGGGAAGCAGTAGCTGTAAATCCTCAGGGGAGAGGAGAATGAGGTCAGGCACTTGTGTGCCCAGCTTGCTCTCTGCCAGGCTGGAGGGGCCAGCCACCTCCTGTCCATGACCTCCACATAGCATCTCATTCTCTCTGGGGCTAGGACTGTCCTTCCCGTACTCCCTGCTGTCCAGAGCCATAAGGTCAAACACCATCTCTTGTGGGTTCCCTCACAGCTTATTTACTCTTTTATAAATAATCCCTTTATTAAAATCTCCTCCAGTCACTTCATTTGAGTGGGACTTCTGTTTCCTGTTGAGACCCTATGTCAGCTCTCTATGGCTGCTGTTACAAATTACTGCAAGCTTGGTGGCTTCCCTAATCCGAATGAATGATCTTAACAGCTCTGCAATTCACAAGTCCAGCAAAGGTCTCACTGGTCTAAAGTCGGGTTGTCAGCAGGGCCGTGTTCCTTTTTACAAGATCTAGAAGACAGTCTGCTTCCCTGCTTTTTCTAGCTTCTAAACGTCACCTGCATTCCATGGCTCATGACCCCATCCTCCATCTTCAGAGCCAGCAATGTCAAGTCAATTCCTTCTCACATCACTACCTCTCTGGTTACCTGGAGCCAGGGAAGATTTTTCTTGTCATTAGATTGGACCTACCTGCAAAGTCACCTCATCTCAGGGTCCTTAAGCTTAATATCATCTTCAGAATTCCTTTTGCCATGAAAGGTAAAATACTTACAGGTTCTGAGGATTAGGACATGGACATATTTCAGGACCACTGTTCTGCCCGCCACAGATCCTAAGTGGTAAAGTCCTCTACATTACAGACAAAGGCTGTGGCTTTATCAGTCCTCTCTGAGGGTGTTCTGCTCTGGGAGCCGGTTCCTGTGAAAACCATCCATACTTGTAGCTAACATGTATCGAATGCTTGCTGAGCATTTGTTCATATCCATTCCTGTCGACAACGTTATGAAGTAGACATTCATTGGCCCTTACCAAAGGGAACTCGAGGCTCATTTGAACAAGCCTGGCCTTACTCCAGATCACATAGTTCGGAAGTGGTGATCCTGGATTCAGAACCAACACACTCTGACTTCAAAGACTGTGTTTGCTCTGTAGACCTTGATGATAAGTTTTACTTCTTGATTTTAGCAACTTTGGAAGGCAGGGACTTAGAATGGTTGCTACATGCTTAAAAAGATCAAAACTCTTTTCTAAAACATCAGAACAGAGCAAGCCACGTTTGGTAGGCATCAGGGATGTAGAAGTGTAGAAAGAAATGAACACGAAAACATTTCACTGTTTACTTTGCGCCAGGCGTTGCGTCTGTTCCCCTCATCCCCGCTAGTGAATAACCTCAACACTCCACCACGTAGGATGCTTATCCCCATTTTACAGACCAGGGAAGTCGAGGATAATGCACGATGTTAGAGTTAGTTCATTTTCCTTCATTTTAGGAGAATGACTAAAACTGTATTTTAAACTTATTTTTGTAAATGAGTTAGATTTGGACAAAATCAGCTACACAGTCTTTCCTAGTAAGGGCTTCCTGACCCCAGCACCAGACAAGGGGAAGTACTGGCTAAAATCTCTAGGTGAGATTATTGACTTACATTGAGCTCCTCGCCTCGGCTTGCTTCACTAAACCAGAGTGACTGATGGGAATGGTTAGAACCAAAAGTTCTGAGTAAAATTTCATCCTGTTGTTTCTTTCCCTGTGTTTTCTTAAAATTACATCTATCTCCACAAGGGAGGGCCGTGCCTTGCTTTTTTTTTTTTTTTTTTTAACAGTTTTATTGACAGATAATTTGCATCCCATAAACCCACCCATTTTAAGTGCACAATTCAATGGGTTTAGTATATTTGCAGAGCTGTACAGCCATCACCACATTCTGAATTTAAAACCTTCCTATTCCCTCAAAGGATGATGGAAACATCACCCTCCAGTCCTGGGCAACCACAAATCTACTTTCTTTTTCTGTGTATTTATCCTTTCTGGGCATTTTATTTAGATGTAGATGACTTGTCATAAACATGCCTAGGACAGTTCAAGCCCCTCAGCTACCCTCTGTGGTACTGGGGGCACTAGATCTAGATTTCTCCCCCTTTTTTATCCTGGCAGACAGCATCCACTCTGCCCCCATTTCTCCGAGTTATCCTTTAGACCAAGCCAATCGTGTTTGATGGAGAGTTTTTGTTGCCGTTTTATTTTTAATCGCTTAATGAAGGAGAGATGGAAAGTCAAGAAGGGGCCACAGGAACTGGTGACTTTCCGATTCTTGTAGACCACCCTCTACTGTCCTCCCAGGCACTCTAGCAGCACATCGCCCCCTAGTGGTCACTGATCTGAAACGGGGGCCAGCTCCAGAACCCACGAATTTAGTGTCTCTGTGGCCCTTTCCAGGGAAACATTGCAGCCTGGGCTCCCTGCCCCTCAGTCCAGCAGAGGGGCCACACTGTCAGCTCACTATGAGGTCACGGGGCATTTACAGTTCACACTATCTTAGCTTGGTGTATAATCCCTTAAAAGTTACTTCTTGTCATGTAGCTGAAACTAATTGACAGATGGCTTGGCCCTCGCTCAGATAGGCTGTATGGTAGGATCAGGTGTCACTTATCCGGCTTAGTTAACAACCTGGAGAGAGGAAACAAAGCCGCTTGGCTTGGTGACCATGTTGACCTTTGATCCAATCCCAAAGGTCAGCAATTTCTCAAGACTCTTTATGCTGGGCGTATCAAGGTTCCTGTTTGGAGAGTTAATAATTTTGTCCCTCTTGCCTTGAATTCTATCGCTATACACTCAGAAACAGACTCAGCAACAGGAATTGGATTGGGCTCAAGTCTGAATTCTCTTACCCTGTACTTGGTTGATCCCTGCTTCCTTATCTCAAGAATTAGGGGTTGGGCTAAATCTCCCTTTCTGCCCCTAGCAGTCTAGGATCTAGTGAAGTGGGTGGAGATGGCACAGGACTTTTTGCCCAGTACTCATTCAACACATATTGGGTGCCTGCTGGACACTGGGTTTCAGCATCTAGTGTCACGGTCTTGTTTCACAATGATTCCTAACCTTTTTTCCCTCTCCCTGTGCAGGGTCGGCCGGCGGCCTGTGCTGCTGTTTTCCATCATCTTCATTCTGATCTTTGGACTGACTGTGGCACTGTCAGTGAATGTGACAATGTTCAGCACACTCAGGTTCTTTGAAGGATTTTGCCTGGCTGGAATAATCCTCACCTTGTATGCATTACGTAAGTAGGAACCTTCATGACTAGTCTCGCAAGAATTTAGCAAAAGTATTGTTGCCTGGGGGGTCCTGGGAAAGATACTAGGCATGCTGCTTGTTTGGGGTGGCAGCTTTTTGGAAACAAACACGAAAGGCCTCTAGCGTTGTGAAAGAGGCTTTTCAGGTGATGCCGTGCAACGTTTCACCCAATCCTGATCTCCAGCTTGGGCTCAGAGCACATCAAAGGACATAGGAGGTTGCGTAATTGCTTGGAGAAGTGGCGATGAGCCCTTTCCTGATATGGAGAGGCTTTGGCTTTTCTCCAGAATTTTCTGCATTGACATTCTGTGTGCTTCTATCTGGTGTATAATTGGGTATCCATACAGAATCCAAATTTTCCACATTTTCATGTCCCCAGATGTGACCTTAAGTGGTCTGGAACTGAATCCTAAGCATTGGTACTGGAAAAGTAAATGGCAAGATTTGGTAGTCTTTGCTCTTTTTAGGAGGAGGAGACATTTCTTTCATTCATCTCTCTTGTTTGTTGGCCATATTAGCTCTGCTGAATATAGTTACATTTCACTTGTTTGTAGTTGGTGTTTGCTAGAACACAACCACAGACCCGTAAGGAGAAGGAGAGTTTTAGGCAAGAATATTTCACATATTTACTGGTTTCATACTTTTTAGTCACTTTATGGAAAGATCTGTTGGGAATACTGTAAGATTTACGATATATTTTGTCTTTCTCTTTGACAGCCTGCGAAAGAGTCGCGTATAGATTAAGTAGCAATTTCCACTGTGACAACATAAGAATGGTTCTAATTCTCTTAAATTTGCATATTAAAGACTTCTTTCAGATAGCTAAAATTTTTGTTCCACTAGAAATATAATCAATTCAGAACATAGTTTTATTGTCACAGGAAGGCGCAGACACAGAAAAAGACTACTATTTTTCTAGATCCATAGTGGGCAGTTGTGTCATCAACATTTAACTGAATTGTAGTTCCTTAAAAATCACCTTTTCCAGTTGATTTGCATTTATCTTAGAACCCTTGTCTCTTGGGGGAGTTCCTTAGGAAGACATGCGTGACAAGATGAGTGGGCCTGGGTGATGGTGTTTGGGGACTTTGTTTCTTTGAATAAATAACATGACTGTTGGGCTTGAACCTCCCCAGGCAAAGTGCCTGTGCCATTGTCTATGTCCCTGACCCCTGTCAGTCTGTGCAGAGGAACAGGTCTAAGCTCTTTTCTAGAGAAGCCTCCTGTTCCTGCCCTCAGGCATCCCTTGGCCCACATATGCGCAGGTACACGCTGGGAGCCTTCCTCCAGGCAGCTATCCTTGCCAGGCTTCCATTCTCACAGGGGAAGGCAATCCAGCCCTCCCACATAGATAGATGGTCATAAAAGGAGACAGCTCTGCACTTGGACAAAATGGAATAGCTGTGCTTCAGGACCTCTGCAGAGAGTATAACCTCAGTTTCATTACCCCCAGGCGAGAGAGTGTTCATGGAAAATTGCCTTACCGCAAAGATGGTGTATTGGTTTTATCTTGTATGCCAACTGCTAATGACTGGCTGAAGCTGCCAGAGAACTAGAAGAAGACTTCTGAGGACACTTGGGGGCTCAGCAGAAGAGAACACCTTGATCTGTTAGCCATGACTGCCAGGGTCAAGGAAGGAGGGTAGGGAAGGGCTACATGTATAACTAGTATTTGCCATCTGGAGAGACTATTGGTGCGTTAAGCCAGACCAGGAGTGAATTGTGCCTGAACGGCATGGTTTCCACCTCACATACTAATAGAATTGTTTTACTGACTTGCATTGTGACATCATGCCATTAACCTCTGAAGCCAATTGCTATATTTACTGTAAGATATTATGTTGAGGATTTTTTAAATTAGATTACACAGTGAGCTCTTTATAGCAGAAAGCTCTCTTCCACTTCAGAACCATACAAAGAATGTACTTACCCTAGGAGATTGCTTTACTCCAATCTCCTAGGCACAGAATCATATAACCCAGGTGTTAAAATAAATTTTTTTCATGTAGGAAATTTTTCAGGCTTTCCAGGTCATGTTGTCTCTGCCACAGCTACTCAGCTCTGCCATTGTAGCCTAAAAGCAGCCATAAAGAATATGTAAATGAGCAGGTGTGGCTGTGTTCTAATAAAACTTTATTTATAGAAACAGATGGTGGGCCAGATTTGGCCAGTGGGCCATCATTTTTCAACCACTGATGTATTTGTGTGTGGGCCTGATAACACGAGCTTTAAATTCTGACCTCTCTCCTCGTTTCATTTTAACTTCCCTACTTTAATTTCTGCTTTGTCACATTTTTCTTTCTCCACAATTTGTGTTCTTTTGTGTGTATGTTGTTAGTATAAGCAACCTTAGGTATTTTCTGCAGTATAGCAGGTCATGTTTTCTTAGACTGGGACCACAAATGAAATAAACATCATGACAAATGTCAACGCAATGAAAATGTTTCAGGTATCAACAAGTGATTGATTCACTGTTAGACCTAATTAAGTATTTGAAGTTACACAACTAAGCTAAACCAAAGGGATGTGAATGATGACTCAGACTTTGTTGAGATAATATTTAAACAATGAAAATTTGGGAGAGCTGGTTGAGAGACGGCAAAAGAGCAAAGCTTTTAGAGAAGAATCAAAAGGAAATAAAGGGAGAATTTAAAAAGGAAATAAAGGGCAGGTGAGATGGGGATAGGATACGGTTGGGGTGACTCATGTCTATATACACAGGGTAGTCTTGGGAGAAGGGAGGGGCTGGTGACGAGAAGTTAAGAGAGGAACTCCCAATCAATAAAGCAGTCCCTGAGTATCCAAATCAATGTACTTGCTAGCATTTTATGCATAAGTAGTATTTATGATTAGGTAATGCTTGGAAATTTGTTTTGCTTGAAGAAAATTATTGATAAGCCAGGTCACAGGGTTGAAGTACTTCTTGACTCTTAAGAAAAGTTTAAAATGTTGGGGCATTGATCATTTGGAAGTTATATTTGTAATGGCCTCAACTTCTTCTCCCCTCCAACCATAAGGGGTTTATCTGACTTAATGCATCTGCTGGAAAGGCCTGTGCTTTCTTAGAACAGAGCTGGATAGCATTCTTTTTTTAGTCTTGCAGGTGCTTGGCAATATAAGTAAGGAAAGTAATGATTTTTGCAGTTTTAGTTTCTTGTGTGGCTTGCCGTGAAGGTGGACTCTTCATTTTGAGAAATGCTGCTGACTTGTGGAAGTTTTCTGCTTTATTAGCAAGGCTGATGAAGTTTTTTTTTTTTTTCTGCTTTGGATTTTTAAGGTACATTCCAGTTAAATGCACTTTACATGTTTGTTTCCCTCAAGTCGCCAAAGGGAGACATGGTTGTGTAGTTAGTACATAAAATAGAGATTACTGGCATCTTCCCAAGGTGTGTTTGCATGGAAGCCGAGTTGCACATTGGCAAGAGCAAGAGAGAACAAGCCAAGCTCAATGGGTCTCCCAGGCACAGTAGTGGCCTCTGAGATCATTGTGAGACACTGAAATAATTTCTAAATACACTTGGGCTGGATCTCACACACACACACACACACACACACACACACACACACACACACACACACGCAGTCGAGTCGAGAAACTGACTTAGCAAGGCAAGGGGCATGGACCAAGATAAGAAACAATGGATCACATTTTCCTATTTATTTATGAAAATACAGTCTTATTTTCAGCCTAAAGAAATGGTCACTTCTCAGCATAGGTGGATGTGATTTGTTGTGGTGTGAATCCGTTTCCTAACCAGGATCCATAACGTCACAAACAAGGTAATATAGCACTGTGAAGGATGTGTCTTTCTTCAAATGCAGGCAAAGAGAGGTGATGTTTTTTAAGTTGATTTGATGTTGGATATATACGTCCTGTGAGAGAGAATTTTTTAAGTAAAAAATGCTGTTTAAAAATGTCTGTCCTCACTCGATCTCTGCCCTTTCTTTCCCTCTCCACTTCAAACAACCTCCCCCAACTACAATTTCCCAATTTGAAATAATGAACAATACCTTTTGTTGACAGAGAGACCAAACTTTAGTTACTATGGCCAAATGAAGGGTTTTTTATTCCCCTTAACAATGAACAATTTTCTTGAAAAAGTCTCTCAAAGATGTTCTTACTCCAATAACCCTCCTTAAACCCAGACAGCCTAAATGATTGGATAAATGTTACACAAGATCAAGGAACAACCAGAAATTTCACAGCTGACTCAGCGGCTGATTACTTTGCAAAAATAGAAACCAAGTCTTGACTTAACTGGTAATAGACTCAGAATTTGAGTTTGCTCTTGATGGGGTGCTGGTCCTTTTTCACGTGACACTAATGGTTTTAGACACTTACAGAAGTGGTTGAGTAATTTCTAATGTGCTGTTGTTGGATGGCTTTTTCTTTCTCACTATCCCATATATTTTTACACTTCAATATTTCCCTGAACTAATATTCCTTGCAACATATTTCAGTCAACAGGATCATTAAGCATCAGCACTATGCTATATAGGTTAAAAAAAAAAAATTGACCGAACCAAATGGCTCCATAGGGTGAGTTGTCAAAGTGTTGAATGAAGAGATTGGAGATTGCCAATGTCAACTAGAAGTGTCTTCAACTATTGTGTGGGCTTCTGGGGAATAAACATTTGCTCTGCATTTGGGTGAAGGGAAAGTTTCACAGGAATATGTGCTCAGTGGTCTCTTTCTCTCCACCCATTTCCCCATCTTCAGATACCTGGGCCTTCCCAGTAGCAGCACCTTCTCAGGGCAAAAAGCCCTTCTCCCGATGGGACTGACTCTACTCACAAGGCTTTTTCCACCAAGGAAGTGAGTCAGAGTTTACTGAAGGCCTTTGACAAAACCTTTTTTTTTAAGCTTCAAAGGAATTTTGGTTTTACTGAGGTTCAGATAGGCACAACTGGGATATCGGAGCAGATTGAGGTCTCTCCGTTGGTCTTTTTCTTCACTGGAAACATATTACTAACCCTGCGGGCAAA